AAAATGAGAAATCAAGCCATAAAAGTTAACGCAAGAATAGTAAGGGTGTGTTCGGGAGGAATGTGACGTGAGTTTATCAAGTAACCAAGGAGTTGTGTTTCTCAGATGGAGGCAGTACTCCATATTCCCCGAGCTGAATGTCAAAGAGGTGTTTTTGGCTCAACACATTCGAGCAGACACTGAGGTAACCCTGCAGGAGGCCTGCCAAACTGTTACAACTGAGCTTTCTGCGCTCCTGTTGTCTCTTTCTTCTTTCAGAGGTCGCAGGTCTGTTGTGGATGTGAGAGTGACGTGCATAATGTTCGTATCTTCAAAGCTGAGAAGAGTCTACAGATCGGGCTGTGTACACAGAGAGATAGTGAATGGAGAGGAACAGCAATAAAAAAGGGGAGTGAGTTTTAATGATGCTGTAATATGAGTCATTGGTTGGAGGGGTTAAATACAGAATACAAAGTATATATCGGCCTGTTGTTCTGTCCTCCGGTTCTCCAGACTAAAATATCTCAACAACGTTTGGATGGACTGCTACGAAATGTACAGATTAATCATAGATTATTGACTGTAGCGCCACCGTGAGGTTCACATTTGTAGTTTGAGTGAAATGTTTCAACAATAATTGGAGCGATGTCCCCTTCAAAATAAATTCTAACAACTTAACCCTTCTTTTGATTAGTCCAATTTTCCTTGCCATCATCAGCTCAATACTATATTTATGTTTATTACTAAATACCTGCAAAACTAATGACCTAAACTGTTCTTTCTGTTTAATGCTAATTAGTAAAGGTTAGCACGCTAAGCTAAAACATGAACATGGTAAACACTTACACATCGGCATGTTAGCATTGGCATTGTGTGCATGTTAGCCTGCTGATCATTTTGCGAGAAGCCACACTGTGCTTTAGTACAGCCTCACAGATCTGTTATCATGGCTATAGACCCTGAGTCCTGTTATTGATATTCATATAATGGGGTATAAAACATGGATAGCACCTACAGAAACAGTTAGAAATGGACTTTTATGATCCACATAGGGCATTTGACCAATATTACAACGTTTTTCTTGCTCTTCTGTCCATCATCTCACTGAACATATTTGCTTTAAGTAACAGCTGAGGATGAAGTACTCCATCAACAACAGTAAATAAAAGTTAATCTAAAAGATGACCTTGTACAATTCCCAGAATGCAGTCCTGAAATGAGACACAGTTGTGTCTGAAAGGCCTGGCATTAACCCTGGTGGTTGCCAGGCTGAAAATCAACACCAGGTATTGAAAAATGTTGCAGTGTCCCCGAGTATTTGCATGAGATAAGGGTGAGGTCAGCAAAGGTATATGTGTTTATACGCATGCTGGACATTTGTCTTTAATAAAGGAGCGTCCCACAGCAGAGCCATAAAAGTAGTGCTTTGGCAACATGGAGAATGAGAAACGATAGTGAGTGAATTTGCCTGCTTCATATGAATATACTGAATAGTTGGAAGGTTGCAGTGAAAAATTATCCACCAGTGTTAATATGTTGAGATAAAGTCAGCTCCTTAGTTAAACAATAACACAATCTATCATGCATACAGGCTTCAGAATAAAATACTTCCTTCATAATTGGTTATGTTCTCTAACATTTTCAAATAGAGCTACAAACTAATCTGTCAAAAACATAACAGATTGTTGTATTGAGTTGTATTGTTGTGGTAATAGGGAAGTTATTTTTTCAAGTACTCTAAACACTTCCTGATATTATTGTCATTTTAATCTTGAATAGCCTACAGTGTGTTTGAAAGACTACACACTGACTAATCAGCTCAGTGAAACAATCAATCACTCATAAGGCTGGCAGAATATAGACAAAAAACTTCCTTGATAATCAGTCAGGGTTTTTTTTTATGCTGGCTGACCTACTTCAGAAACGCCCATTGGGCCCCCAGTTTGTACCATTTCAACATTCATAATGTCAGTTTCGGCGTCATTTGATCATCTGATAAACCATCTTTATGGTTCATCTCATCTGCTTGCTTTTGTTCAACATGTACATTGCCCAGTTGCATCATCATACAATTAAACAAATGAGTCGTGTAAGGAAACAGTGACAGTGCACTCACACTCCCCTTGACAAATAACTGCTTATGTACTTTTGGCACAAAGGGAGTGGAGCACAATTTACATCGAACGTAAACATGGCAAACATGGGTCATAAATAACCCGTGTATGAATGTAGCCAGTTGTTTCTGTGAAAACCAGATATTAGTCCCAACTCAAATGTTGAACCAGGATCCTTGACCTCAGCTGTTTCGGTCATTAAAGGTTTAGTGTGTAACATTTAGGAGGATCTACTGGTAGAAATGGAATATAGTATTCACAGGTGTGTTTGTAATCACCTGGAAATGAGAATTGTTGTGTTTTCGTTACCTTAGAATTACTGGCTCTAGATACACCCTTTTGCGTTTTTCGCAGCCACCGTAGTTTCTCCTCCACGCTTTGGTATTGGAGTGTGAGGCGAGGGTGTTGTAACCTGCAACTACACTGTACTATACTAGGACTACATCCTACACAGGTCCTTTAAAAGCTGGCACAGGTGCTTGTGACTGTGATATTTACTGATTCATTTGCATTAAATAAGCCTTTTACACAGGCTGCTGACGCTCTATTAGAAACAAATCCACTGCTTTTTCCTCTAACCTCACTTATTTCTGGTCTTATTCACTTGCAAAGATATCATTCTGAATTATTATATTTTGACATATTAGTCTTACAGCAAAGGACCAGCTACTGATGCTACCATCACCTAATGGCTTTAATAACCCCGAAGGTGTTAATGCCACATTTTTCAGATTTTTCTTCAATGTCTGAAATAGATCTTAAATAAAAATGACTTTCAATACAAAAAACCTGGAAATCTCCTGTGACCATTTGAAAAACTCAAAAACCGAAATCCCCTGGCACCAGGGGTATTCCACCTGAATATTGTGTCACTTTTTGGTCCTTACCAGGACCAACCAATGTTATAACCTGACTGCAGCAGATGGTTTGTTACAGAGAACCATCTGGGAAGTCATCCTTAGAAACTGTTTGGAAAAAGGGAAGGCATGTTCAATAAATACTTGGCAGGTGATTGGATGAAGCATCTGCCTATCGCTATCACAGGCTAACTTCAACAACAAACCACTGAGACTTCAGGAGAAGAGTAGAAGCATTATAATAAATGATATATTAATTTAATATATATATATAAAGGTAGTGAAGTAGTGGCACAATTTAATAATAAATGTCATTGCACAGGACAAAAATATACAGCAAGTAATTTAAGGGAAATATAGTTTATAACTATAAAGATAGAGCATGATAATTGCACAGTACAGGTTTAATATAATAACAATCTGCGGTAAGAGAAATTATATATGTATATATGTAAGACTTTACAGACTGCTAAATGGGTGATTAAGAATAAACATCGAAATATTCTAACAAACCGAATATCCTATGAGGTCAGTTTCTTCTAAAATGTCCACCAAAAAAAGCAGTGTCATCAGCATAGAAGACAATTATTTCTCTTCACAAAAAAGTTTGTGATTTGGATAAATTGACTTTTAAGGACCAAAACTCAAGTGGAACAAATAACAAGGGACTGTCAGCAATTGCATGTTTTCTACCTAAGATTGTCTCAGAGGTTGCATAACCACTGAACATGTTTTTTGCTGCATGTTCCTAACAAAGCCAATTTAGTCTGAAATGGTCAAACCCTTTTAGTCCACAAGAACAACATGAAGAAAAGGAATGACATTGTGGAGGGTTTATTATGTTTTTATCCTGAATGAGTTTTGTACCCTTCTGTTCTCTTTTTTGGACACTAAGAGTCCATTAGAAAGAGAGAGAAAAAAAGCTCTTACAAGGGATGTTGATGGCATAGTTTAAAATAAATTAGCTTACCATACACATTTGTATCTCTAAAGCCAAATAAATGAATTACACCACTGCCAACCACGTCATATAACTCACTCCACAGAACTCAAATTCATTTTAAAGTCAAGGTGACCCCGGTCGCTTGATGATGTTGTCGGAAGACCAGAGTTTGATATAAATCTTTTCGATGGATGCTGAAGAGGACAAGGTAATTCAAAGTATATTAAAAATAAAAATAGGTATATTAATGTCGCAGTGATTGTACTATTTGGATTTTGGGTTGGTCAGGATGTGAAGTCAATTGTCAAAACTATTAATAGACGGAGTAAATATGATAACATCGGTCAGATATGAGAGGAATTTCTTTGTGTGCACAGCAGGGGAATACTGATATGTTTTTTACTTTTGAACATTAAATACAGGTTTTAATAAGTTAATTGTTTCCACATTCTTAATATAAATGAATGAAATGAAATGAAATATAAATGAATGATATTAAATGAATAAAGGAATAATGTAATGTTTTAATGAGAAAAAAGCTCTTCGATAGATTATCAAAATCTGACGTGGAGAGCTCCAACCAATCAGCAGCCCTCACCTGAAGCAGCCGCTGTTTGTCTCAGTCATACCGTACAGTCAACAGGTAAACTAAAGTATTCATAATTTCATCCTTAAACAGTTTTGCTGGCTGAGCCAACAGCCTGACAGTTCTCATAAAATTACGACTTTATTCTCGTAATATTATGACTTTATTCTCGTAATTTCCCCCCCAAAATTATATTTATTTCTCTTAGTATGGCCCTAATACTCCGTCGTACCTTTCAAAGTCTTATGGAAAGGTTTATTTTGTTGATACATAATCTTGGTCATGTAACACTAATGTCAGTATTGACATTTTCCCCTGAACAAGACACATACTTCACTCTTGGTGTAAAACAATCAGCTAAAAATAGACTTTTATTGTACAGTAGTTCTGTAATGTTGATGGATGGAGGAGGCAGCTCCACTACAGTAATAATGAGTGACAGGAGAACCGGCCAATCAGAGGAGGGACTTAAGCTTTTAATACTGTCCGAGGGTTGCAGCTCCCAGTCTGAGCCACCTGTAGCAGGCAGCAGCGACTACACCCTGCAGGAGAGCAGCGTCTGCACAGATACATTCACCGTTACACCGGCTGCACGCAACCGGCTGGTCCTCCGGAGTCTCAACCCGTTGTCCACCAGCTCACACCGAAGACTTTAAAACATGTTTGTCAGTTTTCTGTCTGTCGTGTTTCTGCTGGGCGCTGCAGTCAGAGGTGGGTAAAGTTAACTTGTTACACTTGTTAGTTAATTAATTATCAAACTGATCAATAAGTGGTGTTTCTACTGATTGATTTTGATTTGGAATATGGTTTAAATCCTGGTAATGCGTTTTAATGTTAGTTGTTTTTTTGTTTTTTTTACTAGTTTAACTGTAGTCTAAACAGATTTAATCCCCATGTAAAGCCTTAAATATGCTCTGACCTGCAGCCAAAACTGTAAAAGTACAATAGTATTAACAGCAAAATGTACAAAAAGTCCTTTATGAAGAGAAATGGACCCTGTTGGTGTTATATTATTATATATTTATGGAATATTAACAGTGATTATGTGTAAGCAGCATTTCTGTTGTAGTTGGTCGAGGCAGAGCAAACTAATATTTAATCTGCTCATCAATCATTCAGTTCATAATATGTATTTTATGTCAAATCTCGCACTTAAATATCTTTTATACAAGTACAAAAATAGATTTTTTGGCCACTTTTAAGTTTTAAGGTACTTCTTGAATCATGACTCATGATTATTATAACCTACATCTCAGACTTGCAAATAATAAACCTGTCATATAGAAATTAAAAGCCTATCTCAGAATATATATTTTTGACTATAACTTAATTCACTGGCAAAAATCTCCTTGTGCCATATATTATGTGTGTACGTATGTGCTCAATGCATGTTTATTATATATTATATATTGTAGTTAATTATAGTAAATGTAATATATGGTATGGTAATATACACAAATACAGTGATAATTGTGACATTTTGTTTGGTTTATTGGAAACATTAGAATATATTACATATATTATAATATAACATGTAAGGAATAGAACAATAAAGTACATATTCTAGATAATAAGAACTAAAGACCCATAAAATTGAATCATATAAACAAATAATTACATTTTTTCAGGAGGGAGACAAAGTAAAACTCAAAACAGACACAATTTTTAGTGCAGTAAGGGAATACTATCTAGCAGCCTTTCTTTTGCCTTATTTAAAGCAGAAAGCGTCTCCCATTTTTTCAAGTTTTTGAAGAAAAATACTTATTCCTCCACATTCATGGGGGGGTTCCCCAAATAGTCTTAAACCCTGACTCACTGCTCCTTCGGTGTGACTCAAAGCTCTCTGTGGGTGGACAGATGCCAGCGGAGGAGGCTTCATTCAAACAACAGCCGGCCCCCTGAAGCGCAGCACACTCCACACACAAAGTTTACCCTGTGTGCGCACAGGCAGAACCCCCCCCACCCCTCGACAGCGTGGTGAAGCTGCCTTGAGGAATGTGGATGAGCTCTCCACTGTACAGATTGGCTAAAGCTTAGCTCTGGTCAAATCCATTGGTCACCCTTTTTTTAAAATTATTATTATTTTGGGCCGTTCTGAAGGGCATCTCTGTGATTCGAGGTCCCCATATGAATGCCTGACAGTCGCTTACTGTCATGTGCCGGAGCCTCACTGGAAGCCTGTAGGCTGCTTGTGTGATTCCCCTCCTGTCATGTGTGTACTTGTATAGAAAACACATACACAGAGTTGGAGGGGAGTTTGATGGAGGCTCCAGTTTGGGGGCCATGACTGAGTGTTTCTGAAGTAGCAGTAAAGATGTCCAGATGAAAAGACCTCCTGAAGGGTCGTGATCCTCCTCCTCTGAGTCTGGCGCCACATTTTTTTATTTATTTTTTTGGTTGTAAGAAACCTTCCAAAGAGAGAGAGGAGATGGAGGCGTTTAACATGCTTCTCTCTCTCTCTCTTTAAGGCCACATGAAGTTTTATCACGTCTCCTCCACATGTGTCATGTTTTGCGTGCTAGTCATCGTTAGGTCATTACCAGAGCATGCAAGGGCCGCTCAGGAGTTAACGGACAGTTGTAGGAAAGTGACTCATGTCAAGCTGCAACAAAGCAGTATTCTCATTACGACTGTATTCTGTCTTAATCAGTTAATCATATCTGTCCTCTATTTGACTAAAACCTTGAGATATTAAAATTCACTGCTGTGTATGAAAAATAATAGTAAACTGATAAATCGACTAATCCTCACACACATTTTCAACCCTTATTTTTTACAGATTATTCTATGTTATCAGTGGGAAAAGTACATAAACAGCTCAGGTTAGCCGTTGTTGTTCCTCCTCTCCTGCCCTCTGTTTAATATCGATCTCCTCTTCCTCATTCGACGCACATGCTCACTGACACATATTGTTTTTACATGCACACTTGTTGCTGTTTTCTCTGCTGTGTCTTTTCTCCCTCTGTCGCTGTGTCCCTGCTGCATCCTGCCGGATTAGACCTGCTCCAGGCCAGTAAATCTCACTCAGTAATTGGAAAGCATGTGCTGGCGGAGCTTTAATTGGATATGATATGTGCAGAGGCCCTGCGAGTTAGCCCCGGCTCCAAGGAGCCATCTGTTACCTCTGAGTTACAGTATGAGAGCTCTGTTTGCTCAGAGAGAGCTCGTTTCTGCCTCCTCTCATTGAGGACGGCGCTTAAATTGGAGTCCGTTTGATGAAGAGAAGGACCTACAGTATAACACAATCAGCAAGAGCAAACACAGATTGAGATTAGATATCTGATCAGCTTCTTGTGTGCTGCTGTGCAACTACTTGTGCAATAGTGACCTGACTCTGTGTGTGTGTGTGTGTCGTGTCGGCCTTGCACATGTGTGTGTCACGTCTGTCTCGTCAGCAGCAGGAAGAGCCTCAGTCCCAGCCAAGATGAAGTGTGTGTGACAGTCCAGATGGAAGTCTTAGCAGGACAAAGAGTTTAAGTTGGCTGCCTTTATTACTCGTCTGTTAATGATACACACCTTTGTTCCTGTGGTGTTAATCGATCAGGTCACATCGCTGACTTTGCAGGAAATCTAGTAAAGGATGATAATGATCTATTAAAGGTGTTACACTCAACGCTTTAATAATCCCGTAAAGCATCCTGATAATTCTCCAGACGATACTAAATGAATAATGAAGGAATATTTACTTGGGTTTAAATGGAGCAGTTGTTTCTTTTCGGGAAACACTGCTCAACAACTGCTTATAAACTCAACACAACTAACTACTGTAAACTCATAAAAACAACAGAACTTTATGTTCATTTTCTCTGTAAATAGTACCAAATTGCATAGTTATTTCCAAGGAACATGCTAGAAGATTATTAAGAAATGACAGACCCATAAAGAATATTGTTACCAGAACACAATAATACTCATTAAAACACACAAATGAGTCAGAGAATCCCACAGAACTCAGTAAATCAACTATGAAGATAACAGCTGGTTTTGATTATTGGTTATGAGACTTCCCTTTATTTCTTTTCTGTTGTAGTCCTTCAGACTTAACTGCAACTTTTTACTTGTACTCAACAGGACAATATTGTACTTCCACTACTTTCTACTTTCATTAGACGGATATAGTTAGTAGATAGCAGAAAGCTTTGCAGATTAAGATTTACATACAAAACACTGGATGATTAGTTCATAAAATATGTGTCTAAACAATAGATTATATAAAGTAGTATGCATCACACGTCAAAAATGATAATAATCCTTTAATCTGATCATATAATAATATAATTTGTACTTTTGACACTTAAAGTTCACTGATTACAGTACATTGATAATACTTTATTAACATTTTGAAAGTAGGTTTTAGTTTTTTTTTGGTCATGTGACACTAATGTTTTTACTCCATTAAATTAATTAATAAAATTTTTTGCACATTATTAAACTGTAAATTTGATCTTTTATATATCTTTTATATATATATAGTTTTATATATATATTTATATTTTGTTCTTAAT